GGAGGAAGGAGGGGCAACGAAGTGGAAGATAAACATAGCCGAGGATAAAAAAAAAAAAAAAAAAAAAAAAAAAGATAAGAAAAGGAGAACGAAAAAAAAGGTGAAGGAGGGGGAAAGAGAAGTGAAGGGTGGCGAGGAAGGAGGTGCCAGCAGCCATAGCTGACTTGGAGGTTGATCGGGCGGTGACCAAGGGTTGACCGGGCGTTGATCGGAGGGTTGATCGGAGGGTTGATCGGAGCTGTTGACCACGATTTTGACCAAGCTGGAGTTGGTAAAATCTCGCCATGCCCTTAGCCTATCCCCTCGCCCTATGGATGTGCACTCACCTTATGGTACTTGCTGAGTCTGAGTCTGTCTGTCTCTTCTTTCTGCATTGAGTCTCTTTTGTCCAGGTGATAGGACTCCGTGTATGAAGGATAGGGCATTGAGTTTGTCTGTCTCTCCTTTTTGCATCGAGTCTCTTCTGTCTCGGTGTAGGAACTTTGTGGTTGAAGGATAGGGCCTTGTTGACCAAACCCACACGGGCTGAGTAGGGCTAAAGACTGTGTCTGACGACTCGACTGTCCAGGACGACACAAACCCTCCCAAGGACCGGTGCTGACCGGCGGGCTGCTCGGTGTGGCACGGTAGGCCCAAAATCCGAGTTGTGGGCTGCACAACGAACTGTCTAAGTCTTGAGAGGATATGCTGACCACGTTGTCCTGTTTGCGACGTTAAAGAATTCCTGAGAAGTTACAGGGGATCTCCTTAAATGCCTTCTGGTCAGCAACAGATCCTGTAGTGACGGCTGTAGTATTAGAGTCTAGGCCAGAGACCATAGTTGTCAGGGTTCCATACGGATCCTGTGGTCCATAGACTGAGTCCGTCTTAAGTTGAGTCAGTTAGGGGGAGAGTCTAAGTGGTGAGGAGCGAAATTGTCACTTGGTTGTGCACCTTTCACCATGGTTGACACGCGTAGTGACCGGAGCACCTCCCCTTACACAGGAGAACAGGAGGCAAAAGTCGCCGCCATCTTGAAAGAGAGAAAAGAAAAGAAAAAGGCCAAGAAGAAGGCCCTGATGGAGGAACAGGCGGCGGAATTGAGAAAGATTAAGGAAGAGATGGCCAGAGAGAGAGAGAGAGGCTGAGGAAAGAGCAAGAAGAGAAGTTGAAAGCGGTAAAAGAGGAGGAAGAGGTAGAAGAACAACCGCTGGAAAGGAGAAGAAGGGGGCAAGGATGTGATTGCAGAGGTACAAAGGAAGATCAGATGGAGAAGAAAATTGCGGAGTGGGTTGCTGGTTTATCCCTGGGGGAAGAAGAGGAGGCATTGATGTATGTGCCCAGGGAAGAACAAGAGGCCGCCATGAAAGAGTGGGATGCAGAAGAAGACCCACTCAAGCGGCAGGCGATAGATGATGAGAAGAGAATGGAGTGGTAGTTCCGATTGACGAGGGAGAGGAAAAGAAGAATGGAGGCGGCGAGCCAGGCGACTAAAAAATTAGCGGAGGTAAAGAAGCAAAGAGAGCAAATGGCGACGCAGGTGGACCTATTGGGGAAGATGGAGATAATGGCGAGAAACATAGAGCGCCTGGCACACGTCCAGGAAGAACAATATCTGTTTGGTAGAGGTCATGACATTGCCTTACGCTCTATACGGCTGGGGCTCCGGGACTTCGCCAGGGAAGCGGCGACGCAGGTGGGCTCAAAGGTGAGGGCCCGCCTAGAAGGCACGAAACGTTATTGTACGGGCGCCATAGAAGGCGCCAGATTGACTGCTCCCAAGGAGGAGGAAGCACGTCCCCGTAGGGAGCCGGTCAAGGTCAAGTTCCCGGATTCCTATAGCGGGAAGAAGGAAGAAAACAACCAGTTTTGCCAGGTCCCTGTGCCGCGCAGCCAACTGCAAAGATGATTTAGTTGCCTACCCTGTGTTCTCTCCCCTCAATGATTTTCCTAAGTTATTGCGCGAACGATTTGCAGATGTCTCGCGCAACGTCAAAGCCTCCGATCGACTGCAAACCATCCACTCTCGGCAGTGGAAGAGTGCTAGGGCACTCAAAGGTGTGATGGATGGGTTGTAGCCGTTCCTGACCATGGGGTTATTGAGACGCAGTTGGTCAACCTCTTCTACCGGGCTATGCCCGAACAGTTACGAGGGCACTTCTTTGAGAAGAGCCAGCAACCCACCATGACCTACGACGCATTGAGCAGGGAAGTGGTGGCGTTCGAAGCGAGGTCCATGTCAATTTCCACTTTTTGGCATAAGGACCTAGATAAGGGCAAAAAGTGGAAGGGTCGCACCATCTCGGGTCAGGTCAAGACCAAGGATCGTTTGATCCTTACGTTAGATGAGGGTGGTGTTGACAAAGTCCCCTACGAGCAAATTGAGTGGGGACTAGAGGAGGAGGACAGTGGCGTTAGCCAGGGGAGGACTTACGCTGCTGTCGCGGCCGGAGGGAGGCCGCAAGGAGGAGGTAGAGGCCAAGGCCAAGGGGGCTGGGCTTCAGGGGGCTGTTCCCAGGGCGATCAGGGGGTTGGTGGTAGAGGAGGAAACGGCCAAGCGGGAGGAAGGGGTCAAGGTCCCCCGCAAAACCGTTCAGGGAATAGGTCGCCTAATAGGGGTAATAGATCACCCTATAGGAGAGGAGGATGGCACCCAGGTCTGCCACAGGGTAGGCCTTGGGAGGACTTGGGCCTGGACCAGCGCGTGTGGCAACAACTTGTGGACCAGGGGCAGTGCATATATTGCGGTGACCATGGCCACATCATCAAATTTTGTCCGAAGTATAGAGAGGCCTGTTCGGCTGCCCAGGGATCGAAAGGCAGCCGCCGGTAGGGGTAGCAACTGCCCCTACCATAAGGCCATGTGGGGAAACGAGCGCGAGCCGATGAGAAACTCCCACACCACATGTGCCTATTGTAGAAGTTGCAGGCCGGTGCCTAGATAGTTGTCCAGAGACCGCTTGTGTTAGGGTCTCTCTAGGCACTTCCCTCATAAGCGTGGCCGATGAGGTAAAGGAGAGGATGCCCGCCTGGGCCAAAATGAAGAAGGAGAGTAGGGGACACCTAGTTTTAGTAGATGTAGAGATTTTCAGAGGTAGAGTAGGAGCCCTAGTAGATAGTGGGGCCACGCGCAACTATATTAGTAGAAAGGCGTTGCAAAAGTTGAAGTTGGGTTAGAAGTCCAGAAGTTAGCAGACCCCATAGTGAGTATCCTCGCAGACAATCGCACGATGCGAGTAGAGGATTATGTAGAGGGAGTCCAGGTGTACTTTCGCCTGGAGAAAGATGGGAAGGTGGAGAAAGTTCTCCATTCCTTGACTCTCCTCGTAGAGGACAACCTTCCTTTAGATATAGTCCTAGGAATGGATTGGGGAGAGGCAGGCGGGGCCACACTCCATTTGAGAGAGCACGAGTGTAGGCTCCGCAGTTCGTCAGGCGGGGTCAAGACTGCCCGTTTGTTCCACGTGTCAGGAGTAGATAACTCCCTGGCACATTGCTGCGTTAGCGCTCTTGCGTTTGCAAGATTAGTGAAAAAGGAGCAGCTAGAAGAACAAGTCTTTGTAGCCTATGTCAGGCCAGTTACTGAGCCTAAAGAGGAAAAACCCATAGATCTCGCTATTGCCAAACTGCTGGAAGAGTATGTAGATTTAGCTAAGCCGCCTACGGGAGTAGTCCCGCGGCCCATCCAGCACCGCATTGAGATAAAGCCTGGCAGTAGGACTCCTAAAGGAGCAATGTATAAGATGTCCCCGCGGTAATTGGAGGAGCTGCGCAAGCAGTTAGACGAACTCCTAGAGAAGGGTTGGATTAGGCCCAGTTCATCTCCATTTGGAGCACCTGTTCTATTTGTCCCAAAGAAGGAGGGAGAGCTTAGAATGTGCATCGACTATACGGGTCTTAATGCTATCACAGTGAAGAATGCGGAGCCACTGCCCCGTATAAATGATCTTTTAGATCGGGTGCAGGGTTGCAAGTATTTTTCGCAGATAGATCTGAAGTCCGGATATCATCAGATAGAGGTCCATCCTGATGATCAGTATAAGACCGCGTTTCGGACTAGATATGGGCACTACGAGTTCGTAGTTATGCCCTTTGGACTAACCAACGCGCTAACAACTTTTCAGCGTTGTATGAATGACTTGTTTAGGCTGTGGTTAGACAAGTTTGTAGTAGTTTATTTAGATGACATTCTAGTGTTCAGTAAGACCCTCCAGGAGCATGAGGGTCATCTAAGGCAGGTCTTGGAGAAGCTCAGAGAGGCTAACTTCAAGATCAATGCAAAGAAGTGCGAATGGGCAAAGACACAAGGTCTGTATTTAGGCCATGTCTTAGACGGAGACGGCATCAAACCAGAAGATAGTAAGATTGCAGCGATTAGAGATTGGCCTACACCCCGCACGTTGACAGAGTTGCGGTCGTTCTTAGGCTTAGCTAACTACTCAAGAAAGTTTGTTAGGAACTTCTCCACCATCGCTGCTTCCTTCCACAGGTTGCTGAAGAAAGAAGCGATCTGGAAGTGGGACAAGGACTGCACGTCTGCCATGAAGAAGTTAAAGCAGGCGTTGATAGAGTACCCAGTCCTCAAAGTAGCCGATTCGCCCTTACCATTCGTCGTCGTTACTGAAGCGAGCCAATACGGTATAGGTGCTGTGTTACAGCAAGACGATGGCAATGGGTATAGGCCCGTAGAGTTCATGTCTGCCAGAATGCCTTCGGAGAAGGTCGCAACATCTACCTATGAGAGGGAACTCTACGCTCTCAGGCAAGCTCTAAAACACTGGAAGCACTACTTGCTTGGGAGACACTTTAAAGTCTACTCAGACCACGAAACGTTAAGGTGGTTAAAGACGCTGACCAAGATGAAACCTAAGCTGACTAGGTGGGCCGCCGAACTAGACCAGTATGATTTTGAGCTCAAGCCAGTCAAAAGGAAGTATAATGTAGTTGCGGACGCTCTGAGTAGGAGAGCTGACTACTTTGGAGCAATAGTTCATTATCTGAATATAGGGAGAGACCTGCAGCAGAAATTAGAGAGGCGTACGCGCAGGACCCTATTTATTAGGGAGGCCCCAGAAACTGGGCCAGATTACCGCACTACAGAGGGGTTACTATTCGAGGAGACTAACGTAGTAGACCGCCTGTGCGTTCCCAGCAATGAGGAGATGTGTAGTCTGATCCTAGGGGAATGTCATGATACATAGCGACATTTCGGTTGGCAAAAGACTTTATCCAATCTGATGCACGCGTACACTTGGGCAGGGATGAAAAATGACTGCATAGAGTATGTTCGCAGTTGTAAGGTTTGCCAGAGGAATAAGACTACTGCGCTTGCCCCCCTAGGTCTTCTCAGACCCCTGCCTATTCCTGATCAGCCAGGAGATTCAGTGTCAATTGACTTTATGGACGCTGGCGTCAAGAGCAGGCATGGCAAGAGCCAAGTCATGGTCATAGTTGATACATTTAGTAAATATGCTGTTTTTGTCCCATTACCTGCAGAAGCTCGAACTGAGCTAGTAATTCAGAAGTTTTTTGATCATTGGGTCAGTGAGCACGGGGTTCCACTGTCTATAGTTAGTGATAGAGACACCCGGTTCACTAGTCAGAACTGGCAGGAGTTGGTGAGAGTCTAGGCTCCAAGTTGTTGATGTCATCTGGCCGTCATCCAGAGACCAACGGTCAGACTGAACAGATGAATAAGATCCTGCAACAGTTCTGGGTGTGTACATTAGACCGGATCAGATCAATTGGGATGAGATGTTGCCCAAAGTAGCCAGTGCGTACAATAACAGCGTGCAGTTGTCTACCTGTCGCACTCCCAACGAGTTACACAAGTCCTTTAGACCACGCAGACCGTTTGAGGGACTTAACCGGGACCAGATTCACAGGCTACCGCCCGGTACTAGGGAGTTTGCGTTACAGCACGAGAAAGAGTTAGCTACCGTGGTAGAGAACCTCAGGAAGGCCCAACACCGAATGATAGAACAAGCTAATAAGCATCGTTGCCCGTCACAGTTTCAAGTAGGCGACCTGGTCTGGGTCAAGTCCAAAGAGTTTGCTCCTGAGGAAAACATCTCGCAGAAGTTACTGCCCGTGTATAGAGGACCGTGGCCAGTTCTAGAAGTTAAGGGCGGAGAGGATGGGCCGTCCTACACAGTAGAGATCCCATCACACCTCCACACCTACCCTGTGTTTCATGCCTCAAAGTTGTTGCCGTATGTCACAAGTCAACAGTTTCCATCTAGAAGATCCATGATTCCTCCAGACATGGACGGAAGATAGGACATTGACGGCATTGTAGGTGAAGACGTGTTCAGAACAGGAGGTCGAGGTCGTCCGCAGAAGCAGTACGAGGTTTGATTTGCTTATCAGGAACCAGAAGACGACCGCTGGTTTACTAGAACCGAACTTCTAGAAACAGCTCCCGACATAGTTAGAGCCTACGAAAGAGATAAGAAAGGTAAAGGTCCTGCCTTGGACTGAGTTATTCTCGGACCTCGAATTTAGGCCGGCGGGAGTGAAACGGTTTTCACCTGCTAGCAGTAGCGAATGCAGATCGCAGGGCTCGTTCCCTAGTTCTGACCTTACCTGTGTACAGTATCGAGTTGACCCCTGAGTGTTTGAACCCGAGACCTGTGTTTTGTTAGTTGTTGTTTGTCTGTCGTAGGACTGTGCAGATGTAGGGATTCGATCTGTAGGTCTGTCGAGTAGGGGTCACAGCTCTGTAGAGGTCGCTACCAGTGCTAGTTCAAAACCGAAAAAAAAAAAAATTGCATCGCCGATCATCGTCGGTCATTTCGCACACGAAATCTAAAAAAAACACATGCTCGCACCAAAATTCCCCCGAACCATCTGGGAGTAAGCACGACCAGATTCGGTCGGTAACGCGCTAGTGCATGGCTCCGATATCACCATCAATCACCCCAGAGTCTTGACCCATCGTATTCGAAGTGTCACCGTCCACTACCCCTATCCCGACCCATCACGTTGATGATGCCACCATCAACCAACCCAATCCCGACAAACGGACGAGTCATCCAAGTAATAATCATCATGGAGTGGGAGTGTACTTACTTGCTTTGCTACTGAAAGGTCAAGGCCGTAGCTGCTACAGCCCTGAAAGGTCAAGGTCGTAGCTGCTACAGTACCCGAAAGGCCAAGTCCACAGACTTCCGGAAGGTCCCGGAAGTGGCCTTTCGGAGTGGGCTCAYGTTTAGGCAGAGGCAAGTGSGCAAGTGGTGGAGCCAACCTYGGTACGWTGGCAGTGCGACTGCAGTGAGTCTGCGGTGCAAACSCATGCAGTCAGCAGTACCGGTCCAGTCAGTCCCAGTCCAGTCCAGCAAGTACCATGAGGGACTGTGTGCACCATGGGCCGATGGAAAAGGGCAGACCAGCGAGTTACAGAAGTATAAATCAAGAGGCCACGCCCAGCCATTCATTCATTCCTGCGTAAGCCATGCGGAAGCGCTGCCATAGCGACTTGTGCGAGGTGGTCTCCAGTGAGCCCGAGGACGAAGTGGGCGAGAAGGAAGTTAGCCATAGCGATAGAGTAGCAGCGGCCGTAGCCGCCATAGCTGTAGGTGTGTGCGGGTGTGTGCGAGTGTACAGGGTGTTGCGTGTTGGATATCCAGGGTGGTCCTGTGTGCGAACAGCAGTGTTGAGTAAGTGACGAACAGAGAGTTGTACAGGCGATGTGACGCCATAACCGTTTGAAGTGAACTTGTATCTGAGCTGCGTTCTTGGTACTATATCTCTGAGTTCTGAGTGGGCGCTTGACTCCAGTTTGCTGCGCAACCTGTTTGCATGCATGTGAAGTGTGAATGAAAGCAAGTCTGATTGCAAGTACAAGGAACCGGTACCTTTACATCCTTTCTGCATATGACATTGTACGCGATGGGATGCTGTACCCGTTTTCCAGCAGGTGCTGCTCCCAACCAATAGAATGGAACCGTCCAGAAGGGAATGTAACATGGGGATGCTCGTACCAGCGGGACATCGAAAGAGAACAGAAAAAAAAAAAAACGTCGTGGTCCACAAATCAATGCAGAAAGCGCTGGGAATAATGAGCGGGCTCTGCTTGTCCCCCTTTTTTCGGTTTAAAGGCTGTTGAAGGTGTCCTCCCTCCCTGCCGCCCCCGCCATGCCTTCATTTTATCCCCATTCGGACATTGTGCATGGCCCCAATCTGCAGATTTTCTGGGCTTTAAACCATTCCAGGTTCTTTGGAGGCTGGGCGGAGGCGCCAGCCAACATGGGAAAAAAAAACGCCGCATTGGTACTTTGGCAAAGCTGAGCGCGCAAGGGGAATCCGCCTCGCCAAAAGAAGGCTCGGAGGTAGTGGTGGTTGAAGGCAACTGCTTGATTTGGGAGTTCCTTGTTGGGTGATAAGCCTTGTGTGCAATCGTGTCCTGTTGGTTGCCAGCCTTTGCTACGGTTGCTGAGGTGAGTATGTGGAACCAGGGGGTTATCAGTTTACCAGTTCTGGAATAGTCATAAAACTCGTAACTCTTTCTGGGGATGCCTGGCTCACATCCCTTCTCTAACAGTTAACCCCTCATTGGTAATGATTGGCAGAACTAATGTTATGTAATGTTCCATTGTGTGTTCAGCAAGTTGGTATGAATTCAGTTTCTGTTCTGTGGATGTGGTCTGCATCAACTGTCATACAATCAATCCCGACTGATTGGATGTCTCAAAATCTCATTTGCGATTTAATATTATAATAATAATTTATCCGCATGCACGTCTCTTTCTCTCTCGCTCCCCCTCCCCCACCCTCTCTTTCTGTTGATGTGTACTGTTTGTAAACCTTTGCCACTTTAGTCTTGTACGTTTGCTGCAATTGTCTCAACAAGTCTTTGCACTCGTTCTCCACAATCTAGCTCATGTTGTACACTTGCCAGTCCTGTGATTGTTTCATCTTTTTGTAGTGGTTTTGTTTCTTCATACTGACAGTGCTGACTGATGTGTTTGGCTGGGAATTGTGCGGTGTGGTGGTTGAAATGCTCAATGTCTTCTTGTGGTGATAGTGAGCGCATTGCTTGCTGTGAAGCAGGCACTTGGCAGCCCACCTGTTCTGGATTCATGGACCGGAGACGACGTTTGTAACGGCAATGCTACGTGGTTTGGGGTGGACTGCGGCCCTAGTACAACGTCTCCATTCAGTCTTCATGCTGTGGTTGGATTGTATGAAACCTTCTTTACTTGTACGGCTCTGCATGACCTTGTGTGTGGTTTCTTTTCTTCCTTCGTTCATGTCAATGGTTATCGTTTGTGTGTATTACTTTGTCTCGTGTTCCTCTGTGTTTGGAACTGTGGTTAATAATTATTTGTGTAAAGCTGATTTCTAGTTCGGCCTAACACTGGCAAATCCAATCCTTTCATGCAATCTTTTTACCCTCTCCTATTGCTCATTCATGATGTTCATTTGATTTATGTGCCTGTTTTTTGAATTCCGTGAAACCACTAGTACTTGGCCCATACATCGGCTGCGGACCCCTCGTGCTCATGTGCCATGACTTTCGCGGCCGGGCCGCCGTTGATAAATCTCATCAATGGCCTTTCTCACATTTATCTCATCCGGAAGTTGCGGTGAGGGGCCCGCGGTCGATGTACAGACCAGGGGCTGGTGGGTTAAGTTGTTCTGTTTCGTTACTTTCATAGCTTGCTTTACTCATTCATTCTTGTTGCAGAGAGGGGGGGGGAGGGGAGGGGGGGGGTGGTGCATGGTTGCGCATAACCAAGTTTATAACTTTATATTCATCCATCTATGTTTGTCGAGGAAATCTTGAGAAAGTGGTGAAGAAGTTTCTTAAAAGCAGATGAAAGGCATGCTAGTTGTCCCTTCGGCATTGAAGGACTGGCAAGGTTGCTGTGCTTATGCAGCACCACAGGCAGCAGGATAGCTTTGGAACTTCATTTTGTTCTTTTTCTTTATTGTTTTCTCTCCTTCACTAAAGCCTAGAGCCACCCAGGAGGAGGTCATACAAAAGAAGTCAGCGTGGCTCCTGTGCAATTAGCATTTTCTAGTTCTTTCTGAGGGTCTCAATTTGAACTGTTTGTAATAAGCAAGAACCTAGGCTGGTCCCCGGGCCGCCCGGCGGCCTGGCCGTCGCCCGCGGGGGGTGCCGGGCTGCCTGGCCAGTTGTCGCACACGGTTGGCCACCGGGCGCCCCCAGTGCACCACTGTAGGTTAGGGTTTTTCTTTTTTTTGGCGCTGGGGCCCTTTTTCCCCCTTTCATAGACCGTGTGGACCGCGAAAAAAAAAAAAAAAACGGGGCCGGCAGGCCCGATTTCACCGATGTGAAATCGGGCCCCATCTGGATCGTCGATCTCGAAGATCGACGGCCCAGATTTCAAATCGGTGGGGGCGGGAACTACCGGCCACCGTTCCCTCCCCCGTGCTGAAGATGTGCCCCCGACGTCCCTCCTTCCCTGCCTTGCAGCACTGTGTGTCCGCCGGCCTTCGACGCGCAACTTCAACAGGCTTCTTCGACGCACCCCGCCAGCACCTGCCAACGCCCGCCATCGCGCGTGACCCTGCCGTCGCCCGCCAACGGCCGCCTTCAACAAGGTAAGGGACTTAGTTGGGGGGGGGAGGGGAGAGAGAGAGAGAGAGAGAGAGAGAGAGAGAGAGAGAGAGAGAGAGAGAGAGAGAGAGAGAGAGAGAGAGAGATCTTCTTCTTCTTCTTTGCCCCC